GTGGATTCTCAATACTTGCATCTACCAACATCACATCTCTGGTGGTTAAGTTAATTTCTTCTGAAATGAGCAGCACGAAGGAATGGTATTACCTATGGTTTTCATTTGAATTATCCTATGAAGCATTATATACTTTTTTGGGGAGGGAGGTGTAGGGGAGGAAAGGGGTTGCTAGAGAGAGGGAGAAGGGGTCGAGAAGAAACGCGCTCGAGAGCATTAACAGCTCATTAACCCGTCTTGCGAAGAGAAGACCATTCCTAGGAAGGGCTGTGCAATCACTGATAGGTCAAGTACCACTGCAAATTTATATACATTTTGTAAGCTACCACTGACATCCCGTTTCCCAGAAAAAAAATGTGACTATGCTGTGCAAATATGCAAATGCAAATGTAGGTAATTTATTCATAAGCAATACAAAAAAGATAATCCAAAATATGTCAGAGTTTTATGAGAAAATACTAATTATGATTATTTGGAAATGTGAGCATAACATCTTTATTTATTTGTTTTAATCTATCCAAAAGGAAAGCAGTGAAAAATCTGCAGCAAATATCCAAATTTCTTGGCGTATGTCTTCCAAAATAATCATAGGCATCTTATGTCCCAAGTTTGTTAAAAGAAAAATTCCATTGGAAATTCATGGAATGCTTGAATACAAAGCATTACAAATATTAACAAAGTCACTTCCAAAGGGAAAGAAAGGAGGAAAATGAGGTACAGAAAATTTTTCAAATATGTGGACAAATTCTTTTGTTTCTTAAGTTGTCTTTGAGGTGCCTAAAAAGAACCCTGAGATAATTTTTCTTCCCTGCTTTGCACTAAAAATATGTAGCACTAACTATAGTTGCAATTGGACTTCCATGACAAAAATGATAAAAATGACATTACTGATTTTTTTCTTTATCAAGTTTTTATTTAAATTCCAGTAGTATTAGTCTCAGGTGCAGAATTTAGTGATTCATCAATTCTATACAACACCCAGCGCTTATCACAAGTGCCTTCCTTAATGCCCATCACCCATTTCACCCATCTCCCTGCCCACTTCCCCTCCAACAGCCCTCAGTTTGTTCTCTATAGTTGAGTCTATTTTCTGCTTTGCTTCTCTTCTTTTCCCCTATGTTCATGTTTTCTTAAATTCCACATGAGTGAAATCATACGGTATTTGTCTTTCTCTGACTTATTTCGCTTAGCATAATACACTCTAGCTCCATCCATGTCATTGCAAATGGCAAGATTTCATTCTTTTTGACGGCTGAGTAATATGCCATTGTGTATATGTATGCGTGTGTGTGTGTGTGTGTGTGTGTGTGTGTGTGTGTGTGTGTATACACCACACATCTTCTCTATCCATTCATCAGTCGATGGACATTTGGGCATTATTGATTTTAATGCATTCTTTCTCTTCCCCAAACACACCACTGGTCCAATAGAACTTTCTGCAATGATAGAAATATCCCCTATCTTACACTGTCTGATATGGTGGCCACCAAGCATTTAAAATGTGGTTATAATGACTAAGGAATTGTATTTTTAATACTGCTTCATTATAATTTAAACATTAATAGCTGCATGTGTTGGCAGCTATCAAACCAGTACAAAATTTGTTTCTTGATACTACCGATTTTTCACGTAAACTCAGCTCTTTTAGATGTAAAACATGAAAAAGAACTACTTAACTGTATAAATGATAAATTTTTAAATTATCTTTCTTAGAAATGATGAAATATTTATTTGGCATTCATAGAGGATAAAACTGTCATGTTCTGAAAAAATGAAAATAAGAGTATTTTAAGTATCTACAAAACTGCAAAGGTTTTACTGCCAAAATGTAAAATCTAAAGACTGATATTTTTTCCTTAGCAAACACCCATAGAGAAAATACGCTAAAAATTTTAAAGACTGTATATCCAGTACATTTACAAAACTGAAATAGGCATTTGGATTGTGATAAAAATTTAATTACCAAGGAAAACATTTTTCAAAAGAAGAAAAACAAAAATTACTGAAATGTTTCTTCAAGTAATCTCAACAATATTTGTTTAAAAATGCAAGTTACATAAATATCATAAACAAGGGTTGAAGGTTAGAGAACCATTTGCCCCTAGTTTCTATTTCTTTGAAAACCTATTTAATATGCATCCAATAAGTATCATTTTATGAATGGAATTCTCAAAGCAACAGGTAAGTACACACAAAAAAGAATACTGAACACTTACTCCCATAAAACCAGATGAAACATTAAAATTACACCTAGCATGAATAATTCTATAAGACTAAGACATAATTGTTTATTGTGTGGGGGGGAGATATCTCAAGCTCAATGTATATTTCAAGTGTCTCACTTATATATGTATTTGTTGACTTGATGGGGCTAACATTTAGAAACTGGTATCTCATTTTTAATGCACAGATGCCTCATTTTAGTATAGTGAATGCTTGAAAATGAATTTCAACTTGTGGAAACACATACATAGCAATGGTTTTTGAGGCTTCTGCTTGCAAACAGAACCCTTCCAGTGCACAAGGATATGGTCTCGTGTAAAGGGAAGACCTCTATCCCTGCCACCTCTTCCTAAACCCTCTCTTCCTAACTCCCAAGGCAGAACCGAGTCACAAAGAGTAGGCTAAATCATGTTCCCCATATTTTATTTAAGAAAGCATAGAATGATACATGTTTTAAAAACATTTCTATCAAGAAAAGTTACATGGTGGATCTGAAAGGTAAATTTCACAGAGGTAACTAAGAAAACTCACTTTAACATGGAACACCTCAATACTCCTCAGTGAATAAAGATGGTTAAAATTTAACTAGATGGTGCTAGGCTAGAAATGGGTCATCAATAAACACCTGCAGAAGGAAAATGAAAGACTGACCAGATGACCAATTAGGAGACCCGGTATTTGCGCTAAGTGGCCATAAAAGTGACTTTGGACCCATCCATTAACCTTTTCTAAGCTTACTTCCCTTGAAAAATTGCCTAAATTATCTAAAAAGCTCCATCCAGCTTTGAAATTCTATGATTCAATAAACAGAATTAGGTTATAGGTCAGACTTTCATTTTCCAAACTATTTCAAATACTTTGGTAACTATTTGACAGGGAACTACTGTCAATTAACCAGTAACAATGAGGGGAAAAACAATGAAATCTGAAAATCAAGTAGGAAAAGCAGCTTTGATTTATAATAAAACTTATACTCTTCAGGTATATATGGATTACTAAGACAGGATATATTTGTAATGAATGTTTTACAGGACTGTATCACATATTACATATCACATCAGCATTAAAACACAGAGTATCTGAATGCTTTACCACTTGACATACCATTTCCACACATTCAATTTAAGAAATGATTAAGGTGCAGGGCACCTAGATGGCTCAGTCGGCTCAGCGTCAGACTCTTGATTTCAGCTCAGGTCACGATCTCAGGGTTGAGAGATCAAGCCCGCACTGGGATCCATGCTCAGCAGGGTGTCTGCTTGAGATCCTCTCCCTCTCCCTTTGCCCCTCCCCCTGTTCCCTCTCTCTCTCTCTCTCTCTCAAATAATTTAATCTTAAAAAAGGAAAGAACTAAGATGCTTTTAAATAGAACTAGCTCAAGGACAGAGCAATTGCAATGATTATGGAGGCCCTGCACCCCAGCAGTGGTTAAATCTGGGAGGGTCCAACAAGTTACAGAAAAACAAGAAGCCCCTTATGTTGGAATTCAAAGTGAACCAAACAAACAAAAACAAAACTTAATTCTTTCTCCCAGATTTTTCTGCCACACTTGATGGCAGGATGCTCTTTTACCATTTCCTTACTGTTTTGCCTTGAAGGTGTTCTGATGTTCATTTAATCCAGATCCTACTCTTACCAAATTCCAAGGGGGTGGAGGGCACCGCTATGTAACTTTCCCAGACATTGACCCTTTTCACCCTCAACCCAGCCACCAGCTGCAGGAGCCATCAATGTCAACATAAGGGCAGGCATCCCATCATTGTAAATCAAATAGCTAGACGCACTGATTAATACAACTTGAGAGCCGGCTAAGATCTTAGCAGTACTATATTCCAACAATTTCATTTTTAGGGTTTTTAAGATTTATTTATTCATTTGAGCGGGGCGAGGGAGCACAACTGGGGGGGGGAGGGGCAGAGGGAGAGGGGATGCAGACTCACCCCTGAGCAGGATAAGCTCGATCCGGGACCCTGGGATCATGACCTGAGCTGAAGGCAGCCACTCGACCGACTGAGCCACCCAGGCACCCCCAATAATCTCATTTAATTGATTTTTTTTAATTGTAAAAATAAGTATTTAGTGAAAAAAATATAAACCAAACTTAATAGAGTCTTTCCTTTTTACTCTACATACTTAAGTAAGGCTCTTTCTCTTCAGCTCCCACCCCCACTCTCTTGCCTGCCCCCCATCCACAACTACAATCACTATTAAGTTGGATCTATGTCCTTTTCAATGCCTTAGTTTATTGCCTATAAAGTAGGGATAATAATAGTGCCTACTTCACAGGATTGTCTTGAGGATTAATTAATCTTAATACATGTAAATTACTTAAGACAGTACCTGGAACTTACTAAAGACTCAAATGATGTTAGATCATTTTATCAGATTTTTACCAATCCCATAATGATGAACATTTAGGTTTTCACAATTTTTCATTCTATCCAGTGCTGTGATGAACATCCTGGTTCACTTGACATTTGTTCCATTGTGTAAATTCTTATAAGTGAAAAATGCTGATTCAAACACATACTTATGCAAAATGTTGCCAGATGTGGTCAAACCACCCACCAAAAATATTCAGCCAGTTCCGCTCCATCTGATAGTGTGTAAGAGTATCTTCTTAGTCTCCCACATCAAGTATCTTCAACACTAGATACTAGTTTTTGCTAATCTGGTAGGAAAGGATGATCAATGTTTTACCTTCTATTGGAAGAAAACATCTTTTTGTGTTTTGACTATCTATATTCTTTTACGATTTGCCTGTTTATATTTTATAGGGAAGGTCAAGAATGTCTTCTCCTGTGAATGGATAAAAAAGCCGTGGTATATATACACAATGGAATATTCTGCAGCCATCAAAAGGAATGAGATCTTGCCATTTGCAACGACGTGGATGGAACTGGAAGGTGTTATGCTGAGTGAAATAAATCAATCAGAGAAAGACATGTATCATATGACCTCACTGATATGAGGAATTCTTAATCTCAGGAAACAAACTGAGGGTTGCTGGAGTGGTGGGTGTGGGAGGGATGGGGTGGCTGGGTGATAGACATTGGGGAGGGTATGTGCTACGGTGAGCGCTGCGAATTGTGCAAGACTGTTGAATCACAGATCTGTACCTCTGAAACAAATAATGCAACATACGTTAAGAAAAAAAAAGAAGAAGAAGAAGATAGCAGGAGGGGAAGAATGAAGGGGAGTAAATCGGAGGGGGAGACGAACCATGAGAGATGATGGACTCTGAAAAACAAACTGAGGGTTCTAGAGGGGAGGGGGGTGGGGGGATGGGTTAGCCTGGTGATGGGTATTAAAGAGGGCACGTTCTGCGTGGAGCACTGGGTGTTATGCACAAACAATGAATCATGGAACACTACATCCAAAACTAATGATATGATGTATGGTGATTAACATAACAATAAAAAATTAAAAAAAAAAAAAAGAATGTCTTCTCCCGGTTCCTGCATCCTCTCCGTCTTATGCCCCACCCCGATCTGGGGAGTGAACAGGCCTCTTCTTCCCCTCAGTCCCAGGAGGATATCACTCTTAAGTTCTCTCTTGTTGCATAGATTAATTGATTAATCAAGATCTATCTGCTCTTATTGCTCAGACATAAGCCAAACTCCCCTCTTTCATTAAAATTTAGATGTCTCTTCCTTGTCTATTCATATGTATAAATAAAATTGGCAACTGGTGAGAGTTCCATTAGCATTTGGGTAGGTCCCCAGGAAAACCTCCTGCCCGCTATTCTCATTAAGAGAAGTTGGCAGATCCATTCAGTGATTTTGCTTCCACATTGAGATTTCTTTTCTTCCCCTCAAGGCTCTTGTGGCCTTTTATTTTATAAATGAAAAAAAAACTGAAGTCCAAAGAGGTTAAGCACAAGAACCTGGGGGTCTGTTATCTCCTAATATTAGGTTTTGCTACCAAATACTGAAACACCCCCTTCCTGAGACCGCAGTCCTCAAATGCTTCCACTGCTGATTGCCTCCTTCATGAACCCCCAGGTTAGAGTCCGAACTGGTGCTTGCTGCTTCCAAGCAATTTCCAACAATTAGAAAGACTCCAGCTTCTTCTGGTGGGGGTACGGAGGGGGGAAAGGAGGAAGCTTCCCCTCAGCCTCCTTCATCCTGCACACTCATATCTGGCCTTCATCTGAAACTTCTCCACAATTGAAGTCTCCCTCCACAACCACATGTCCCATCCTCCTAGATGGCTGGCTCAGTCATGCCCAATACAATTCTTCAACGTCAGTGGGTCCTTTGGCCCCCTCTCCATTCTCCCTGTCCATTCACTCCTCCTTTCTTTCTTTGCCTCCAATCCAGCTCACATTCCATATTCCATCCTCCATGTCCCCAAACACTCCTGCCAAATTCCTGAACCTCCTTAGTCCCTCTGCACTTGTGTTGTATCCACCTGGAAAAAACCTAAGCCTGCAGGAATGCAACAGTCCACCTTCTTCACACCTCAGAGAGTTGGGTACTGCAGGAGAAAATCCCCTAAATAAGCAGACAGTTCCACCATAAGCCTAGCAACCAACAGCCTGCTGACTAATGCCAACAATCCTACTACCTTTCTCTAGCCAAACTGCCATGTGATTCTTCACATCATTTCAAACCTGCATTCTCTACAAATCTTCAGTTCCCAAGCAGATGGCCTTGCCGGGCAGAATGCAGAATTCTCATGTCAGCTGTGCTCAGTTAGTGGCTTTCTATTCCACTCTGTGGTTTCCTAGACAATCCATACAGCTCCTTGGAAGGGAAGGAGGTATGGATTGGGCAAGATCCTCGCCAATCCCATCCCCTAAATAAAAATAATTCCAGTTCTACCTATTTAGTGAACTTTCTGAATAAATGGTTTTGCTAAAAGGAGTCTGAAAACATTAACCAGATCAACACATCCCACCCATGTGGGGGTTGGTGTAGAGAGCACCAATATACAAAGCAAACAGATGGAGAGCTGCTCTGGCTGAAGTGGAGACACACTACTGCTCCATCTCCCCATAATTCTCCACCTCAGCTCTATTTAGGAACCCTCAGGCTCTGAAGAACACATTAAAAAAAAAAAAAAAAAAAAACAGAAACACTGCTCTATGCAAAACAGGTGCCTAGACTTGTCCCCTAAACCTTCTGCCACTGAGTCTTAGTTCATACTTTCCCTTCAGCTTGGGATGTCAACAAATAAAAAATTCCATGAGAATTCCACAAGAATTTGTTCCAAATCAGTGCCTCGAAGAGTACTGGGTACACAGTAAATAATCAATAAGTACACGTTGAATGAATACTTTTCCTCCCAAACTCCTGCCAATGTCATTCCTCAGTGTCAATGCAAAAAGCATCTTCTTAAAAAAATCTTCTACAATCCTGCTACAGAGAATTAGATTCTGTGTTCTACAAATGTTGGGCAGTAGGCCAGGCATAGGGATACAGAATTTAAGACAGAGTCCCTGCCCTTGAAGGCTCTCAGTCTGGGACTCTTATACCTGTATTAATAGTCCTTATCTTAATCTACTTTATATTCATTTATTTATTATTCAACAACTATGTGAATACCTGTCACATGACAAAGAACCTATATCTCCTATTCTAATTATCTTCTAACTTCCATGAAGGTAAGACTTCACAATTCTTGGGGCACCTGGGTGGCTCAGTTGGTTGAGCGACTGCCTTCGGCTCAGGTCATGATACTGGAGTCCCGGGATCGAGTTCCGCGTCAGGCTCCCTGCTCAGTGGGGAGTTTGCTTCTCCCTCTGACCCTCCTCCCTCTCATGTTCTCTCCATCTCATTCTCTCTCTCAAATAAATAAACAGACAAAAATCTTAAAAAAAAAAAAAAAAAAAGACTTCACAATTCTTGAGCTGCATTTAAAATAATTACAGACAAATTCTTTAAAAAAATTTTTCTAAGATAAATGTTAGGAACCCAAATCATGTTTCCTAACTACTACTGATTCACCTATTCATTACATAACTGAATTCCTATATAAATTGACTGTTAAAAAAAAGTTTTAAGGGACACCTGGGTGGCTCAGTCAGTTAAGCAGCTGCCTTCGGCTCAGGTCATGATGGGATCCAGCCCCACATCAAGCCCCACATCAGGCTCCCTGCTCAGCGGGAAGTCTGCTTCTTCCTCTGCCCCTCACCCTGCTCTCATGCTCTCTCTCACTCTCTCAAATAAATAAAATCTTTAAAAAAATTTTTTTAAGATTTCTCAGTTATACAAATAAATGGTAATATTGCATAATGAAATACAGTTGACCTTTATGTAACACAGGCTTGTAATACATGGGTCCACTAATAACACGAATTTTTTCAATACAGTATAATTGCCACTGTATTTTTTCTTCCTTATGATTTTTTTAAGATTATTCCTTATTATTTTTAAGACTATTATTTATTTGAGAGAGAGAGAGTGTGCATGAGCGTGCATGGGGTTAGGGGGGAGGAGTAGAGGGAGAGAATCTCAAGCCAACTCCCCGCTGAGCATGGAGCCCACATGGGGCTTGATCTCATGACGCTGAGATCATGACCCTAGTTTAATTCAACAGTCAGATGCTCAACTGAGCCACCCAGGTGCCCCCTTAATAACATTTTCTTTTCTCTAGCTTACTTTATTGTAAGAATACAGTATATGATACCTATAACATGCAAACTATGTGTTAATCAACTGTTGATGTTATCAGGAAGGCTCCAGATCAACAGAAGGCTATTAGTTAAGTTTTAGGGGAATCAAAAGTTATATGTGGATTTTTGACTGAGCAGGGGGTCGGCACCCCAACCCTGACATTGTTCAAGTATCAACTGTACTGATAAAAAGTACTTTAAAACGGGGTGCCTAGGTGGCACAGTTGGTTAAGCGTCTGACTCTTGGTTTCAGCTTGACCTGTGGTCTCAGGCTTGCGCTCAGCCTGCTTCAGATTTTCTCTCCCTCTCCCTCTCTACCCTTCCCACTTGTGCTCGTTCTCTCTCAAATAAATAGCTACATCTTTTTTTTTAAAGTACTTTAAAACGTAAAATGTGCCTACCATTGACCCATTAATCCTACTTTTAAGACCTGATCCTATACACAAACACACATGTATATATAAGGATGTATATGTATCTCCTGGCCTAGAGGTTAATGGAATGAGAATACCGTAAAGTAAAAAGAGAAATCTGCAAAGAAATACACGTAGTATGATTCTATTTTGTTGTTTATAAAGGGGATAAAGGATATAATTACATACATACAAGCAAAGCAGAAGGACACAACCGAACTATTAACATTGATTACTCCACAGTATAAAACCGGATGAAGAGACAACTATTTTCCATGTGTTCCTCTATATTCACTGATATTCGGGCATGTATCGTTTTTGTATTTAAAATATGAGAAATTTAGTCTTTTAAATGTATAAAAAAGGCTTTTGCTCTGTTTTAGTTTTAATATGACATTCTCCAAATTCTGAGTATTTAACATACAATCATCCTGCAAAATATAAACCACTGTGCTATACCAAGCACCTTGACGCGGGGAAAGGAAGGGCAGAGGTGGTGCATTAGTGACTTCTCTTTACACAGAAAGGCTTCATAGAGTGAGGGGTGGGGAGAGAAGGGAGGGTGAATGTTGAGGAGAAAGAATTTAAACACAATAAAACAATGTCAATAAATAATAATAAAACAATGTGAAAATGAAAATTATTGGCAGATTCCCAAGCTTCCTTTAAAAAAAAAAGGGGGGCCAATTAACCCATAATGGTGTTAAGATACCATCTGTTTCCAATAACATGTTTTGTTTTGTTTTTCCTTTGGACAGTATTGTAGTTGTAAGTCACATTCCAAAAACCAAATCTTCTTTAGGAAATATACTTTATCAATAACATCAGCAAACATTCTAAAAGCCTGAAGTCACAAGTTTAGAGCACTCTAGGGTAAGTATTTCTTCATCTGCTTTCAAAACCTGTGTGGTAAGCCACTCCTAGGCTATACTGGATATCAGTACCGTCAGGGAATGGGATGGCCGGGCTGCTACAAGCCCTACCACTCTGATATCTGTATAGCACTCTACAATTTAAAAGCTCTTTGATACACATGAATCAAATGCTCCAGCTCATTAAAAGACATTCAAATAAAACACATACACCTGTCATTGTAAATATATGCAACAATTTAATCTCTGATGAAAAAAAGGTGGCAAAGCACGAACTTGAAACGTGTGCTTGTGAGCCATTATGAATTATTGGTTACAACTGTAGAGCTGATACCTAAATATTTTCACAAATTGAAAACTGCAGCTGAGGAACTGCCACAAAACCAAAAGCTCACTGTAACTTTTATAAACGAAGGTCGATTTCTTTGAACAAACTCACTCCAGTGGACTTTGACTAATAGTTAAGAAATAATCCACTCACAACTGTTCCTTTGTACATCAGTAACAAACAAGGGAAAATCTGGGCTATAATCCTTAAATTATTTCTCACAACACTTCTTCCTCAAAGGGGGGGAAAAACACTTAGTAAATGTGGTTTTACCTCATGCAATGATGATTTTGCCAAAAGGATTACTACAATTGTGTTATTAAAGTTTGATTAGTAAGATAATTAGAATTTTAAAACTGAAAAATCTACTTAAAAAAAAAAACCTAACTAGGCACTCAAAATAACATATACACCAAAATGCCAAACACTAAAAATGAAAGGCGTATTTCCATTTACTATCAGATACAGCAAAGATAACCAAATTTTATGTTTTCTACTCATTGGAGGTATTTTAGATAGATTAAATAAAACTTTTCCACAAAAACACTCCATCTAAATGAAGCCAGTAAAGCATACTTTCAGATCTTTGGGATGGTCCAATATAGAGAAGGGAATGAAAAATAGGTCTGTATACAAAGAAGTCATCATAAAAGGAGTAAGAATAAGAATTCAAGCATAAGACTCAAATGAGGTTAAGTGATAACCAGAAAAGACCACATAAAGCACATACATTTAAAACAGAGACCAAATTTTACAATGAGTGGAAATAAGAAGCCAGAGTAACAAATTCTCTTGAAAAAAATTTTAAAGTTTTTTTAATCTGATATGTAATAAAACTTAATCTTATATGTAATAAAATATTTAATAAAGCCCTATATGTAATAAAAAATCAGGTTATAATGATAACTATCTGCTTATTCTTACAACATGAAGAGTGAATCAAATGTTGCTTCTGTGGCAAAAATTTTTTCAACAAACTGGATGATAGTCCAATTCAACATCATTTGATTTTCACAGTGCAATCATAAAGGTTTTTTGGTTTGGGAGGATGTTTCTGTTATGTTTTTTCCCCCCAAAGAGAAAGGCTACATCAAGCTTCCCAAATGCCTGTCTTAATATTTTAATCTTCAAATCATCTCTTTTTAAATGCCTCTAACTCAGGGTCATTCATCTTTGTTGGCCTTTCTCTTCTTTACTTTTTAACTGGTCCACTGGATATGGTAACATCCAAAAATCATCTAGGAAGCTTAACACACAAAGAAAGCAGAGAAAGATGCACAGGCTAAGTGAAGTGGGGTTTTGGAATGGAGACTAATTCTATGAGTGGTATATTGAGCGAATATTTTGCTTTCCTATACAACTCCTCCCACAACCCTATACTGCAGGGACTTGGATAATGAATCCTCAGCTAATGAGAACCCCCTGTATTTGCATTTTTATCACCTGTTTATATAACAAGAGGGGATGTACATCTTGCTCTGAATATCTTAGGATATGTAAACTATATCTTGGTCAAATTATAAATGATTTTTTTAAATGCAATATAATACTGTACCAAGGTTGTAAGGGAGTTCCTTTTCATATAGAGCCTCTCCAAGTACTGTAGTCCCTCATCTTTCAGTAACTCCAATGGAAAATGGTGCAGATTCCTATAATTTAAGAACAAATTCTTGTGTTTTTCCAGCCTTGCCACAGAGATCGTCTTACAGAGTTCAGATGCCATGACTGAACATATCCCATCAGGCACACTGCAGCACTACATCTTGTCAAAATTGGTCCATTTCTAAAGAGAACAAGAAAATTGAATAATTATGATACTGCTCATATGCATTACCAAATAAACCAGTTAGCACATACAGCTATTTGCAGACATTAAAAAGAGAATTACACATTCAATCCCTATTATTTTTCTTTTCTAACAACTAAGTTTATCACACATATTTAGATTAAAATGACAACTATTAAAAATACCCTATTTAAGCTTACTTAGCATTTCGCAGCAACAGTCCTAACTGAAAAAAATATGTCTTGAATTTGAGACAGGAATGCCGAACAGAACAGAGACCAGTTTCATAACCTGCAACCAAAGAAAGCTGAAAAATCAAATATAGCAAACCCATTTCCTTCTTGAACTACCTCATTTTATGTTTACCTTAAGGTATTTCAAAAATATTGATAAACACATACAAAATATATCTAGATCACTAACAGTTTCATTTTCTTCATTTCTTAGTATCTATATTGTCCTATATTCTAATTTTCTTTCTTTTATCTCTTTGGTTTTTTTTTTTTCTTCCTAGCTTTGTAGATTATCAGAAGTAGTAAAGAAGCAAGTCCAAGAATATATGGTTTTATTATTTCAATGAAAGAAGAAATACTGACTAGGAAATAAGAAACTTGTATTATTACAATCTTTCCAGGCCTCAGTTGCCTAACATAAAAGCAATGGAGATAGCAATTTATTGGTAAAGGCCAGAACCCAGAACAGATTAAATTCCCTCCTAGCTCTGAAAGTGACAGGGTAGGAAGAGAAATAACATTTGCCATCTTATCAACTAGGCACAGAGCAGAAACAAACTTCATTCACAATCACTTAACGTAAGAAACAAACTCAGAGCTTCAATAATTTGTCCAAGGTCAAAGAGCTCATAAGGGATAAAAGCAAGGATTTTTCCCCCCTTGGGGTAAAGAGGCTGTCCAGTGATTTTAAAGCCTGGGTTCTTTACATACATAGACTCAAAGTCCTCCACAGGATACTAAGGAAATGTGAAAACACTAAAAAGTTGAGCTTTGTTCAATGACTCTACTCTCATTTTCCTGGGCATCCTTTCTCAAACTCCCCAATAGAAAGTACCTTTCAAACAGAATTTTTTTTTTTTTTTAAGAAAAACTATTTTCACTGGGAATTAACACCAAGTTAGTGCAAAATGTAGTAACAAGCTTTTGATAAGCAGTTTTGATAACTTTTTTGGTTATTTTCTATTATTTCCAAACTCCAACTCCTAGCTAATAAGAAAGGACTTGCCATTTTATCTAAAAGAGCAGACAACATGGAATAGTCAATAATATTCCCAATGCAACATGAGAATTCAAAACTTTCCCATACTGATTCTACCTACACACCTACCTATTTTTATGAGACATATGTGACTTTGAGCAACATACTCAATCTTTCTACATCTTAATTCTCTCACCTGTAAAGCAAAGGGGGAACTAAACTAGAAATAATATCAATGATTCTGTGTGGAAAGAGAAGTTTCCCGGGTTACAATTCAAAGTAGTAAACTTGAAGCAGGTTAGAAGTCTCACAAGTGCCTCAAACTTAACACATTTTATCTGCATCACCGATCCGAATTCTCCCCAGTGCTTCTCATCTCAATTAATGGCACACACCTCTATCCACCTAGCTGTGTAAGCCGAAGAGCTGGAAGTCATGAATGATTCCATCCTGTCATTCACCTGCGCACTCCAATTTGTCTTAACGCTGGCGGTTTCCAGCTCCAAAATACATCTCAAGTCCATCGACATCTTTCCCTCCAGCCAAAAGCCACGGTCATCTCCTGCCTGGCCATCTGTATTACTGGTCTCCTGGTGCCACTCTAGTCATATTCTAATACCTTAATCACTTAGCAGGGAGCCTTTAAAATGTAAATCCCGTACCTCTCTCGGGTAAATTCACTCCCTAGCGCACACATATCAACTAAATACAGCCTTCAAAAGCTTTTTTAGAAAACCAAACTGTGATCAGGCACTGAGGGCTCCTCACAGTCTGGCCCCATGCACCTCTCTAGCCTTATCCGGCAGCACCCTCCCTGGCTTCTCATCAAGCTCCTGGGCTTTTCTAGGCCTTTTTTTCCAGTCTCTTTCAAGAGCCAAACTCTTCACACCAGTTGCAAGTCTCCTTTTAGCCTGGAAAGCACTGTCCCGTCAACTTTGAGTTTCTAAGTAAAAATCACTTCCCTATCCAAAACTATTCTGTTATTCTTTCAGAGAAACCTATTTCTTTTATATGTAGGACTCCTCCCAACCTGTAATCTAAATATTTATTGGTGTACCCATCTATTGTCAAACTAGCCAAGAGGCTGTAAGCTCCTGAGGGCAGAGATCTTGCTTTCTTCACTCTTGTATACCTGCCTGTGCACAATATCTAGCACAAAGCAGGCCCTCAAACAGCTGATGAAAGTAGGACATGTAATACTACAAGGTAAATATTTTTCACTCTGTAATCTATGGTCATCTTGTAGATACTATATCCCAAGTGCTTGCTATGGACCATAAAGATCCCTAATCCATACAACCCTGCATTGTGATAGACAGTATTCAGCCTGTTTCATAGATAAGGAAGCAGTTTCTCAGAGGGTAACTTGCCAGAATTCTAACCCAGGTGGACCAACTCCAAAGCCGGTGCCCTGCCTTACAATATAGCCTTTCAGGCACTTCAATGGGGCCTGTGTTTCTCCCCATCATCATTTAAGTGGTAGGTGAAGCTTATACAAATGTAAGACTACAAAGCAAAACTATATCCAAAACCCACACTCATTGATGGAAGATCCAGGAAGAGAATTTGGTGTAACCTAATTGTTTTTCTTCTGAATCCTGACGGCTGGGAATCGGCTGCCTTTAAAACATCATTACACCCTATTAAAATGCATCTGGCTACCAAGGCAGTTTGGGAGATAAAATCTACACAAATGAAATCTGAAAGCTGCCAATAATAAGTAATGCTCATGGTTTTCCAAAACGCATTCATTGGCAATATACAGCCCTTACCAGGATGGGTAATTTTCTCACATAAATTCCCTTCACTACCTCTTATCTACAGTTAAAGATAAATGGTATACTTAATATTAACTGAACATATTCAACAGAACCTCCACAAGTTTTCTGACATGTAAACACCAAGCCACTTTATTGTTTAAAACAAATAAACCCTCCCACCCTAAGAAAATCCCATACATTTTAAGCAGGTGTGTGTAAAAGGAAAGACCCTCAAACTGACTTCCATATTTAATTCAGTAGAACACCCACTCCAATTTCCTAACATTGGAGATTAGAGAATTAAAAACTGTACACTAAAAGCATTTGTAAAAGGTTGTTTTCTCAGTAAGTCTGAAGCAAAACACCTGCCGCTTTGCCCGAGTTAACCAAACACTAAGGTCGTTACGGTTTGGAAGCAGCGAGCCCAGTGGTAGGGATTTCACAGACCCGGTATCGGGATTCTCCGGCCCCAGAGGGCGGGGAGGGCCTGGCAGCTATGGCGACCCGAGGCCGGGACAGGCCCGCTCGGGCCAGGAACCACTCGCCGCTGCCCCGACGCTTCTGCCGGACCCGGCGTGCTGGCCGGGGGCCGGGCCAGGGGGGCCCTTAGCCTCGCGAGCCACCGACGCGACAGGCGGCCGCACTCACCTCGGCGCCGGCAGAGCCAGCGCTCCGGACGCAGGCGGCGCTGGACTGCAAGCCGAGGGTCTGCGGGAGGGGCGGGGAGCCTGGGGGGCGGGGCGAGGGCGGACGGCGAGGGGCGGGGCGGGACGGGGCGGAACCCGCACGACGGAGAGTGGGGGCAGAGGGAGCTGCGGAGAGAAAGACGGAGCATCGCGATAAGTCGTCCCTGTTCTCGCGGTTTCAAAACTGCACGGACGAGAAGTTCGTTTTCCAAGCGATGTGCCTATTGGCCAAGAGCGCGACTTCCTCCAGACTGGCCCCGCCCCCCGCTCAACATTGGCTTCCGGCTGCGGCTGTAGTTTTACTATGTTGATCGCAGTCTTTTGCTTTGCTCTTTGTGGGGGCCGTTTAGCCCCCTCCAACCTCAGGCATTGCCAATAACTGATGTGTTCTTTCATTCATACATTCATTCAGGCACTCCCGCTCTCATTCATTGTACGCACTGGGGGCACACAACAATAATAACACCCGAGCGCTTATTGTGTACCAGGCAATGTTCTAAGAGCTATGCGTATTCTCACTAAATCCTCACAGCAATCTCATGACACAGGTACTATTATTATACTCGTTTAACGAGTGAAAAGCTGAGGTCTGGTGGGTTTGTAATATGGCCAAGGTTAGTATCAGGTGGTGAGCCTAAGCATAGGATTTAAGGGCTCGCTGTGCGCGCTGACAGGTTTGTTCCAACGATGAGGCGGGTAATCTAGTCTCTACTCTTGAAATACCTGAGGTCTATTGTGAGAAACGATCGCTTAAAAGGACAATAACAGCTTAAATATTACCTCAGTTCCTAGCATGACTGAGTAGGCCGTCAATAAATATTTCTTCAAGACGAAAATTCCTATGTCAGCGGAAGGAGACATCAAAGAAGAGAGCTTTATGCTGGTAAAAAGAAAAGAATTCCAAACATTGTTAGGGAACATTTTAAAAACATTTTATTTTTTAAATATTTTGTTAATATGGCAACTTTCTGAAATGAGTTTTTAAAACTTCCTCTCAAACTGCTGTCATTGTTCTTTGAAAAGCTTGCTGTTGATTAATTTATTAGCGATGCATTGTCAAGCAACCTTGACTTTATAACTAGTTTCCCGTTGGTTTATTTAATTACTGTTAGAGATGAATAATCTAAAAAGCAGTTATACTAAATAAGAATAACACGTACTCCAAAACAAGATACGAGTTATAATGAAATACTAATTTCCTGTTTATTAAACCTGGTCTCCAGAAGTTACTGAAGTATATGGCATGGGGAATGTCATGTAGCTCTAAGAACTTTGATACACATTTCTAAATACCTAAGAATTTGTAGTACTTAAGAACTTTTTGCTAGGCTTATAATGAGGAAACCTACAGTTTGTGTAAAAACAAAAATAGGGTGTTAAGGATGGACCCAAATAATAAAACTTGCTCCTAATCTTGGAAAGTGACTCCCAAAATGATTGACAATAGAATGACAAATTTTTAAAGCAATCAATGTTAGCCACGTAGTTTTCATTTCTTAAAAACATGAAATATTTTAACGCATTAATTTAACGTCTGATGTTTGATCACAAAAAATGAAACATCTTACAATAACTTCTAGGCCCCTGAAACTGACACAAAAATAGCCAAGTGATTCTATGTGTCAGAATGGCCATTTGAATGTGTGTCTATTTTCACATCTTGCTTCACTCAAAACAGTTACTCAAAATTCTTTAAGCTAGCGATTTTGCAATCTTTGACAAACTTTAACATCAACAGGCAGCGATACCACTTTAAGAAAATTCCGAGGAAAAAACAACCCCATTTTAAAATTCCCACCTCTGGCTCCCCAGGATTGGGTTGCAAACTTCGACAAAATACTGTTCTCCACTCCCTATTGGTGCATGCTCTATCATTCATTCTTCGCCGGAGTTTGGTGAAGTACCAGGTTGCTTTACGGGAAAAGACTGCTGTAATTTACTCTGGAACTGCCCTGCTGTAGACTTTTTCATGGTTATTAATTTGTGCAAAGAATCACAAACTGATACAGCGGGAACCAAACTGGCAAATCAGGCTGCCGAGACGACTGTGTAATTCGCTGGAAATGGAGAACCTCTCCTACGTACGGGGTAAATTTAACAAAGGATTTTACGACACAGATTTGAGAGTTAAAGAAACTTTTCCGGTTTTTCGATAGTTTTGAAGGAATAAGCGTCAAAGGAGAATTTAACGTACAGAATAATCTAAGAGTGGCAGGAAGAGGAGTTTTCAGGAAGTGTTTTTTGGGTGAGGTTGGAAGAATGTTATTTCCAAATAATCTAGATTTTTGAATGGTAAAGGGAACAAGGTAATAAGAATAATTATAGATTATTATATACCCTAAAAAGCCGTGGTTTGTTGTTGTTGCATTAATACGAATTTAAAGGGACACTTAGTCATATTATTGTAATTTTTAAGTGAAATGGGTATTTTTGTATATTATACCTAGCATAATAGACAATTCATCTATCAGAAGATAGAAAAGAAAATTAGAATCAGCTTTGGATCCAAATTTTGTATATTTGTAGATTAGGAAATTCAGAGACAAATCTGCTAATGACCAAGGAAAACATAATACTGTTATATGAAGCAGAATCAGTAGGTAATTAATGTAAGGATAAATTCTCAAAAAAGAAATCCATTTATATTTTCAAAATGAGATTTTCATTAAAACTAAAACATGAAAGTTCAGGAAAATATTGATAAACAAGAATAACTTATATTTGAAATAGCAACATAATACTTTTTTAGGACTCGGCCCAATATAAAATTCCAAAATACAGCATCTTAAAGATTCTTCAGGTATTAATTCAACTAACAAATATACCTAGTGGCACATCTATATCTCTATAGGGCATAACTTATAGTAGATATGCAATAAATATTTCTTGAATGGCTTTTATTATATGGGGATATAAAATAATAAAATTAAGTCCCTCAAGCTCATACTCTAGCTGGGAAAATGAGGCTCAAAACATTTAAGTCAAAACTTCTGGACAGTTCTTTTTTTTTATTTTTAAGATTTTATTTATTTGAGAGAGAGAGAGGATGAGAAGGGGGAGGGCCAGAGGGAGAAGCAGGCTCCCCACCCAACAGGGAGCCCGATTTGGGACTCCATCCCAGGACTCCAGGATCACGACCTGAGCCGGAGGTAGTCGCTTAACCGACTGAGTCCCCAGGCACCCCTTCTGGACAATTCTTGATACATAGATGCCTGTTGTAGACCACAGGTGCTTCAAGAGTGTAGGTCAGTGTGAGCTGAACTATTCAGGGCGAGCTTCACAGTGAGCTTACGACCAATTCAGTCCTGAGCAATAGGCAAAATTTCAGTAGATCGAAAAGAAGGGATGTGGCATCCCAGGTAGTGGATGAGTTGTTAGCAAATATGTGCAAGCTTAAAAAATCATTGGCTCAGACTGCAGCACAGACTTCATTTGGGGCCTTGGTTTGTTGTTGTTGTTGTTGTTGAAGGCAAAAAGGATGTAAGAAGTTACATGAAGAGTCAAAATTGCTAGAATTAAAGGGTTTGGTCCTGGGTTTTCAGCAGGAGTGAGACCTAATGAAAGTAGTAATGGGAAAAGATTAAACTGATAATGTAAATTAAGGTAGTTCCAAGAACAGAGACTGGAAATTAAAGGATTAAATACTGTAGATAATGGACTACAGATTGGTCACAGCCTCATAAGAGATTTTATCCAAGTAACTTCACTTTCCCATGGTGGACTAACAAATGTTAAGGCATTGCCTTGTATTCTTCTAAAGCATTGAGCTTATTTTTTTGTTTAGTGGTACAAATACAAATTTTACTAAGTGTGGTGGTAGTGGTGGTGCAGTTAACACAGTAACCATGATTGTTATTTATTTACCTTGGATCCGTTCTTGCTCCTTTTGCCTCAGGATTTAAGTGTGTTTCTTGTTCTATCTAACTGAATTGAAGGAATTTCAACAACAACAACAACAACAAAAAGAGCAAAAAAACAACCTTATGATTGAAGAACGCCATGGTAGGATGGGAGGAGTTCTTATTCGGACGGTAGGCTTTCACTTGACCTCTTTCTCTGAGATGAAACTAAATTACATACACTCAGTGAGTTGCCACCATGTACCAGATACTTTCCTTAGTGTTGGGCAAATAAAAGTGAATCAAGGATTAGCTCCCCCGCAAAAAAGCAGAGTGCTTCAGAGACACCAAGCAAGGTGTTTGTCTCCTGACTCAAAACTTGCTTCAAAGGATCCTAAGTTGTTGATCAGTGGTTCTTACTTAGGTGGACCCAGAAGGAGGAATCTTTGGTTCTGGCAAAGAACTCTGAGACAGGGTCCCCTGCTGCAGATGACTGATGTGGTGGGCTGCAATGCTCATCAAATCTACTCAAATATCTCTTTACTCCCCTGTATATCCTAGCCCTCTGCAGTGCAGGGGGGGAAAAAATGTTAGCACAGGTGGCCTGTGTCACTTCTGGCCAATGGTGGTGAAAAGTTCATCCACAGATTTCCAATCTCTTGGTCTGCCCTGACTCCTGCTTGTTAAAGCCTGGTCAGCTTGGATCTCTGAGTCACTCTGTGAATCACACATTCCCACTCCCCAAGCCGTACTCCTAAACCAAGTGAGTCAGTAGCATGAAGGAGTTAATATATTACCTCATTTTAGCCCATCGAATCCTGCACCCCACTGTTAGCAGGTTTTCCTCTGGGGACATTGCATTTATTTAAGTTTTCTTTAGTTTAAAAAAAAAATTGCCCTAAGTAACTGAGTTTCAGGTATCAGGTGTATGAGGTATTTGGAGAGAAAAATCACACCAGGAAGATTGTTTAATTGTTCATCCAGTAAACATTTACTGAGGCCTAATAGGTGCCAGGCACTAATGCATTTGATCTATTTATTCATAGAACCGTAATATTAATTTAGGATTGGTTTTCAAGATTTGGGAGCCTCTGCCACATTATCTTTGGGAATTGGGGCTGACCTAACTTAGAAAAGTCTTATGGGGCACCTGGGTGGTTCATTCAGTTAAGCGCCTGCCTTTGGCTCAGGTCATGATCTTATGGGTCGTGGGGTGAAGGCCTGTGTGGGGCTCCCTGCTCAGCAGGTTGTCGCTTCTCCTTCTCCCTCTGCCCCTCCCCCACTCATTCTTTTTCTCTCTCTCTCCCCCTCACTCTCTCTCTCTCCCTCACTCTCTCAAATGAATAAATAAAATCTTTAAGAAAAATAATAAAATAAATAATAAGTAAATAAATAAAAAGTCAGGTAGTCATAGATATTTAAAAGCCAGAATTACACATAAAACTGCTTTGTGGTTTCATAGCTATTTTTAATAGCTTTAGTGAGGTGTTATTTACATAACATAAAATTCACTCATTTTAAGGCTACAACTCAATGAGTTTTTAGAAAATTTACAAAGTTGTGCAAGTATTACCACATTCAAATTTTAGAAAATTTGCATCACTCTAAAAAGATTCTTTGTGCCCATTTGCAGGCACTCCCTATTCCTACCCAGGCCCAGGCAATCACTACTAAACTTTGTTTCTATAGGTTTGCCTTTTCTGGACATTTAATGTAAATGACATCATACAATATGTGGTCTTTGCATCTGGCTTTCACATAGCATAACGTTTTTAAAGTTTATCCATGTTGTAGCTTGTATGAGTACATTCCTTTTCACTGCCAAATAATATTGTGCCGTACATACGATATACCACATTTTGTTTATCCATTTACCAGTTGATGGACATTTGGATTGCTTTCAGTTTTTAGCTATTATAAATAATGCTTCTATGAATTTGTGTACAAGTCTTTGTGTGATCAGGTGTTTTCAGTCTCTTGGGTATGTACCTAGGCATGGAATTGCTGATTTATGGGTAATTCTATATATGTTTGACTTTGTGAGGAATTACTCATTCTAAAATGACTATACAATTTTACGTTCCATGAGTGGTGTTTGAGGAGTCCAGTTTTGCTACATCCTTGCCAGTGCTTCTTATTGTCTGTCTCTTTGATTATAGTCATTCTGGTGGGTGTAAGTAGTTCTCCTTATAGTTTTGATTTTCATTTTCCTAATGACTAGTGATTTTGAACATTTCATGAGCTTATTAGTCATTCATATATCTTTGGTAAATTGTCTTTTCAAATCTTTTGCCTATTGCTTACTTGGGTTATTTGTCTTATTGAATTGTGTTTGTTACATATTTTGGATTAAAGTCCCATTATCAGGCGCCTGGGTGGCTCAGTTGGTTAAGCGACTGCCTTCGGCTCAGGTCATGATCCTGGAGTCCCTGGATCGAGTCCCTCATCGGGCTCCCTGCTCAGCGGGGAGTCTGCTTCTCCCTCTGACCTGCCTGCCTCTCATGTGCACTCTCTCTCATTCTCTCTCTCTCAAATAAATAAATAAAATCTTTAAAAAATAATAAAAATAAAGTCCCATTATCAAATATGTCCTATATCTACAAATATTTGCAAATGTATTCTCCTATTTTGTGAGTTGTTTTAACTTTCATGATGGTGTCTTTTGAAACAACAAAAGTTTTTAATTTTGATGAAGTCTAGTTTATCTTTTTCTTTTATCAGTTGTGCCTTTGGTATTGTACATAAGAAATCTTTGTCTAACCCAAGCTCATACATAGCCCTTTGTTTCCTAAGAGCTTTACAGTTTTAGCTCTTACTTTTAGATCTTTAATCTAGTTGGAGTTCATTTTTGCATATAGTGTGAGGTAGGGGTCCAACTTCGTTACTTTGCATGCACCTATCCATTTGTTCCAACATCATTTATTAAAAGGACTATTCTGTCCCCATTGAGTTACCTGGTACTCTTGTCAAAAAATAATTGACTATAAACGTAGAGGTTTATTTCTGGACTCTCAATCCTATTCCATTAATCTGTATGTCAGTCTGTATGCCAGTACCACACTATTTTGATTAGTGTAGCTTTGTAGTAAGTTTTAAAAATGGGAAGTGTGAGTCCTCCAACTTTGTTCTTTCTCAAGACTGTTTTAACTATTCTAGGTCTTTTACAGTTCCATATAAATTTAAGGTCAAATTCTGCAAAAAAAAAAAAAAAAGACAGCTGGGATTTTGATAGGGCTTATATAAAATCTATGGATCACCTTGGGGGGTATTGCTATCTTAATAATATTAAGGCTTCTAGTCCATGAACATAGAATGTATCTCATTTATTCAGGTCTCCTTTGATTTCTTTCAGCAATGTTATATAATTTTCAGTGTAAAAGTTTTGTACTTTGTTTGTGAAATATATTCCTAAGTATTTTATTCTTTTTGATGCAGCTGTGAATGGAAATGTTTTCTTAATTTCATTTTCAGATTGATATTCAGTTTTTGTTTATTTTGTATCCTGTGACCTTGCTGGAATTGTTTAATAGTTCTAGTAGGATTTTGCTGTTTTTTTCATTTTGTTTTGGGGGGTGTGTGTGTGTGTGTGTGGTGTCTCCCTTAAAATTTTCTACGTATAAGATCATACCACCCAATAATAAAATTTTATTTTTTCCTTTCTAATCTGCATGCCTTTTATTTCTTTTTCCTGCTTTATTACACTGATTAGAATATCCATTATAGTCTTAAATACAAGTGGTGACAGCAAACATCCTTGCCTTGTTCCCAGTCTTAAAAGAGAAGCATTCAAACATACCCCATTAAGTGTGATGTTAGCATTAGGTTTTTTAAAAGTTTTTATTAGCCCTTTATCAGGTTAAGGAAGTTTTATCATGAGTAGATGTTGGATTTTGCCAAATGTTTTTTTCTGCATTTATTAAAATGATCATGCAGTTTTTGCCCTCTCTTCTCTTAATATGGTGTATTACATTAGTGATTTCAGATGTTAAACCGACTTCACATTCGTGGGATAAATCTCCCTTAGTCATAATGTGTAATCCTTTTTATATGTTGCTTGATTTGGTTTTCTAATATTTTGTTGAGGACTTTTTGTGTTTATGATCATAAAGATACTGGTTTATTGTGTTATTACATCTTTGTCTGGCTTTGGTATCAGGGTAATATTGGCCTCACAGAATGAGTTGGAAGGGATTCCCTCTATTTTCGGATAGAGTTTGCAAAAGATTCATATTACTTCTTTAAAGATTTAGTAGGATTTACCACTGAAGCCATCTTTTTTTAAAGATAAAGATTTTATTTATTTATTTGACAGAGAGAAACACACAGAGAGAGGGAACACAAGCAGGGGGAGTGGGAGAGGGAGAAGCAGGCTTCCCACCGAGCAGGGAGCCCGATGCTGGGCTCGATCCCAGGACCCTGGGATCATGACCTGAGCCGAAGGCAGACACTTAACAACAGAGCCACCCAGGTGCCCCTACCACTGAAGCCATCTTGGCCTGGGCTTAGCTTTGTGTAAATATTTTAAATTGTTAAATTATTTACTTGTTATAGTTCCACTCAGATTTTTTATTTCCTTTTAATTCAGTTTTGGTATTTTGTATCCTTCTAGGATGTTTTTCCATCTCATGGCTTTTTGATGCCTCAGCTTACATATGGGCAACGTTGCTTTTTAACTAGTACACTGTCATACAGTCACAATGGTTATTTCGCAGGAGCCACTGCCTTGGGGACTCCTGCCCCTCCCTCAAGCCTCCCTGCATCCCCCACAACAAGTCAGCACCTAATGGTTAACACCTGTAACAGCAGGGGACCTTCTGAACCTAGTTCCAGCATAGTTGCCATCTATATAGATTGGTTGGTCCTCCTGCTATACCAGTTATTAAGTTTTTGAACATCACCTCTTGGAAATGGAAGACTGAGACCCTACTTCAGACTTCTTCCTCCCCTTTTGATCTGAGGCTGATCATGTGCTTCAGCATTCCACTGGACAGGTCTGGCAGAAGGAATAGCATCAATTGATTGGATATGTCTGACTGGCAGTTGTGGGCACTGATTTGAGAGGCCTGGGAAGCTCTCCCCAAGGCTGGCAGGGAGCGGGCTGGTGTGTGGGGCCTGGGCTGATTTCTAATGAAAATTTAACCCCCAGCTATGGCTATTACAAATATAAGAAAAGTGGCTGATGATAAGCATGT